GCACTAAAGACTAAATTCAGTGGGAAAATGGTTTGAAGGTCCCTATTGCTTGAATTATTCCTACAAAATTCAGTCACCAATCTGGGACCAATTCTCTATAGGAAGATTTCTACCATGCTTATGAAACTTAGCTAATGTGAAGTGATTTCAAATCAACTGCTGTGGACTTTGGCAGAGGATCTTCTGGCAACGTAAGGACAGAAATGTCTTGTCACGAGCATGAGGTTCAATGGCACTAGATCAGGCCCCTACTGGATACTGAGTTTACCTAAATTAGACCCAGCCCTGACTTTTAACAGGGCCAGATAGTGCCAGATAGAGCAGTTCTGCTCTGAAAATACAGATCACTGTCCACTGGGCTACCATCCAGTACCAGGTTTTTTGCGTTCTGACTTTTACCAGGGCCAGATAGTGCCAGATAGAGCAGTACAGCAGTTCTGCTCTGAAAATACAGATCACTGTCCTCTGGGCTACCATCCAGTACCAGGTTTTTTGCGTTCAATGATGCTGGTGGTTAAACAAACCATTAGTTTAAACTTGCTTCCAACTTACCCGTTTTTATTTTCTCACCATTATTTAACCACTGCAGAATATCTAGTGAAAATATCTAGTATTTTTTACTCCCCTTTATTGCAAGTGTGTGGGCTCACAGGCTGTTTGTTGTGTGTGCCCATCTCTACAGGCCAAGGAAGAAGCAGGACAGGTGAAACTGGTAGTTCTAAAATGCTTCCAAGAACAGTATGTTATCTGTGTTCCCTTTTCTAGTTTGGAACATTCAACAGATTTCATCAAATCTGATCCACTTCTCTTAGCCTCCTACATTTTCCCCATTAGAACAGACTTCCAGTTCATAAGCACCAGTACCTTTTCTAACATATCTAATTAAAAGAGCTTTCTCAGCCACAATATTGTGACATGATGCAATGGCTGCATAGTGTTTCTTGTACATCTTTTGTAATTTATTCCTTATAGGTAGGTGTTAGCCCCAGTATCAAGACCCCATTGCACTAGGTTGTGCAAAGATGCATGGTATCTCCCTTTACTGCCAAAAAAGAGTTGATGCTGTGCTTGTGGGATGACTACTACATTAGCCAAAATGGATGCAGCACCCGAAATTCACTGAAGCTTCTGATAGCACCCTCCTGCCAAACATGGCTGAAGTATAACACAGAATAAATTGCCAAATATAGTGGATGCAGCACAAATCTCAATGAATTGCAAACGATGCTTCCTTTATTAGTAGTAATTCTGCTCTGAGATGATATCTAGTTAGCTCAAATAAAAAACCCAACACACACCACACCCAAGCACAAGTTTTTCTGCTGAAGGTGCTGCCTCACCCCCTGCTCACGGTATCTTTTTACCTTGACTTCAAGAGAGAGAGAAGTGAAAAAAACAGTGCATATAAATTAATATAGAAGAAAATAATAGTAGCAGTACATTCTCATCACCTCACGAGTGCCCAATTTCTTAATCATAAAACAGGAAAAATGCACAAACATGGATCTAGTTCTTTACCCTTCTTACCCAGCTTCCTGTTGCCTCCAGTCTCTAACTTCCAGACATTTATCCCCTCTTCCAGCTCCTTTCCTCCTCCTCAGCTGTCAGTTCTCATGTATTTGTCCCAGGATACAATTTTTAAATAGAATAGTTATTCTGGTATAAATCCTAACACAGAGTTGTCTCACCCTGCGCTTACAAAATCATAGAATGGTTTGGGTTGGAAAGGACCTTAAGATCATCTAGTTCCAACCCCCCTGCCATGAGCAGGGACACCACACACTAAACTATGTCACCCAAGGCTCTGTCCAATCTGGCCTTGAACACTGCCAGGGTTGGAGCATTCACAACTTCCTTGGGCAACCCATTCCAGTGCCTCCCCACCCTCACTGTGAAGAACTTCTTCCTTAGATCTAACCTAAACTTCCCCTGTTTAAGTTTGAACCCATTACCCCTTGTCCTATCACTACAGTCCCTAATGAAGAGTCCACTTAGCTGTAGCTTTTCCCCCTTCTCTTACAAACATAGGAATCACCAGTATCTGCCATGCCTCTACCTCTGTCCAGATCAGATGGTTGTACCTCTTTAAACACGCAAGGAATTAAACACTCAGCTATGCAATTAGACAAGGCCTGGATCTTTAAATATGGAGTAGCAGTGGTGTTTCTCATGAAAAATCTATTACTGAAAGAAAAAAATCCAAGTATTTAAGTACAAGTTCTCATTAAAACAAAGCTTGTTTCCCCCTTCCACACGCTGAGTCCCTCCTTTAAGGGATTTAATTCCCCCTGGAAATTTCATTACCTCAGTTCTGGTCTTCTGTTCTACCCCTCTCTGCCCCTGCTGCACCTACTCAGCCTCTCAGCTCTGCTGCAGGTTGGATGTGCTCTCCTCCCCTTAAAGACACCCCAACAGCATCCATCGCTCCAAACAGCGGCACTTCCTACACCAGCTGGTTTAGGCTCATTCTAGCTGTGAACCAAAACCACAGAAATGCCAGCAACAGGAAGATTGTACTGGTCCTAGATTAGCACTAACGCACAGGTTCCCCGGAGAGCAGCCAAGGCCACACAAAGCCACAAAGCCCACCTACCACCCCAGCACATACACCAGCTATCCTCACACCTAGGTGGCTGGCAAAACCCTTTTTGTGCTTCAGTGCTCAGCTCTCTTACCCGTAAGTTTTTGAGGAAGTAGCAAGTTCTACTTTAGCAAACCACACTGACCTTCCCACTGCGTTCACACATCACTTCCACCCTCCTACTCAGGAGATGTCAGCTGCAGAAAGGTGCCCAAAGCATCCATCACCCAGGCATCCCATTAGCCACACGGCCTTCCTGCCATTCACCTTCCTGCCACCCAGCTTTCCAAAGACAGAGAGGCACTTTGAGGGAGCACATGAAGCTTGTGTGGTGCAGAGCAATCAGGATGTCCTCCACTCACACACCCTGAATGGCTTAAATATGAGCTTAAAACAGCCAGGCTCCTGTGATGACAAAAAAGCTCCCCTGCTGTATAAACTGTCCCAAGCTGCTGCACACAGCTGGCCATCACTGAAGCTCAACCCGAGTATGTTATTTCTGTATTTCCAAAACCACATGTGGTGTTAGAACCTTCCTTGCAATTACTCAGTTTTGCAGCGCTCCATTTCTGAAGGGAGGAGCTGATAGTATGGCTTGATTGCATCATGGTGCAGGATGTGGCTTTGGGCCATTGCCATTAACAGTCACACTAAACGAAAAAGAAAGCAGGAGATGTTTAATCACCACAGACTTTTCTTCATCAGACCACTCAAATTCCAAAGCCAATCTTCTCAAAAGAAGCATTTCTAATGATAGGCTGGCACTAACGACTCTGGTCTTTATCCTTGTCATCTCTAGAAGGTGCCAAGTGGCAGAGTTATCCCAGCTCAAGGTGGAACAGTTAGGCTCAGGACTAGGCTTGGCTGCTTCAGCCCACCAGAGCTGACAGAAGGGTCATAAAAGGCATACAGATGGGAGGATTTGGGTAGTCATGGTGTTACTTTTTATTTCCTCCCCAAATGAACTTGCATAGAGGCATATCAGATTCCCAAGAGCATCCTGACACTTCATGGTTGTTTTTCAGCATATTGGTTGGAAAAGTCTGTCCCTAAAGCCCTGGAAGGAATCACCTGCTGCATTTAACACCAAGTCAGCAGCTGCTTCTGATCAGCACAATGATCTGGGGGTAATCTGGGGGTTAGTGGTGTTTTGGTTTGGGTTTTTTTTTTTCCAGGCCTCTGCTAAGGGCTAGAATAGACCCATTTCAGCTGTTCTGGTAAACCAAAAACACCCGAGCTGCAGCTGTGGCTAGAAGGGGAAGAAGGAAAGAGGTGATGGACAGCAAACTCAGAGGTCCTGGGAGACCTACCAAGATGAAGCCCTAGAGGACAATTCTATGTACCAGCAGTTACCTGCAGCCCCTCAGAATCATCCTGTCCAACACTGCTACCCATGTCCAGCAACCCTGGATCTACAAAGCTGGGTGGGGGAAGAGGGGAATGAAAACCAGCGTGGTAAAGCATGCAAATTAGGTACAACATTAGGGGTTTTTGCTCCATGTTT